GGTTAGAATCACCATGGAGGAAACGAATAAGTCATGGATAGGAGTGGGAATTGTACTCGCCAAAAATTTACTATCGACGTCAAAATTTGCACTTTTTTCGTTTTTATAGGTCTTTGGTTAGACAATTTGGATCTCGAAAAACTTATTTTACAACTTATCTTACAGCTTATTTTCAAATATAATTTTTGTGTGCGAAACATATCCTTTAACAATAATGTTTAGACTCTTTATGAAAGGCAACCATGGACGTATCAACAAGCACCGCAGTTTCTGCCAACAATTGCTGGTTATGTGAAAGCCTGGTCCGAAAATGTCGTACAGCTGACAGTTAAGGTAAGCAAGAGGAACCTTCTATTCTGCTTTGTTACCCAAGCATTCTTGCAGGGTTCCGGCCATTTTGTACCCATGGATCGACCCGCGCAAACACTTCAAATGCTTGTCAACTTTTTGAGAAATAATTACAATTACAGCACACCAATATTCGATGTTAGCATGTTTCACCAATTTTTGAGAATTTGTCATTACCGTCTTTTCGCCCAAGAATTGGAAGTATTTTCAAATTTCAGGTTGACACTACTCCGCAGCCAACACTTGCTCCGATATCACCTCCTAAATGCACGCGCAAAGTCAGTTTTTGCAAAAAAATTCCGGCCAATCACGTGCGAGTGGGCGTGGCTTTGCTCTATCGTGACTGGTCTGCACAACACTGATTGAATTCCTTTATCATTTCAGGAGTCTGACAGAATTATATCGATGCCCGGTTTGGATTGGAGTCTACCCTTCAAGCAATATTCAGGGTTCCTCAAAGGATCTGACACTCATATGCTACACTACTGGTATTCGATATAATCGATATATTGATTAGTAATTACCATGAACCTTAGGCTCGTGGAATCCGAGCTTGTTGATCCAGCTACTGCACCACTGCTTCTATGGCTCAATGGTGGACCAGGATCCAGCTCTTTGGAAGGTTTATTTTTTGAGAATGGACCGTTCAGGATTGGGAAAGACGGCTTTACTGTGACAAGCAATCCTTATTCGTGGAATAAGGTGGGTAAATGAACATACTACCCTAAACTTAGTATACGGTAATTACAGTTCGCTAACGTACTGTACTTGGAATCTCCAGTAGGTGTTGGGTACTCGTATTCAACAGATGGTGTATTGCCACAGTATTCAGATGAATTGGTGAGTAGAACTA